GTAGTAAAGTGAGACATGTATACGACATCCTAGCGTGAAACAACAATCCACCACCAGTGGAAGCCAGCATGATGGCACCATTGGCGGACATGGCAACGTCCTCCCATTCTTGCGGACCAAGCGATGAGTCTTCCTCCCAAGTTGCGCCGCTGTCTTTGCTCATCCACAGGTTCCCACCCTCGACGGCCACCAAAATCGGAGCACCATCCGAGGACATGGCTAATGCGCCTTTGCTCGAGACATTGGTGTTGCTGTTTTCCATCCAAGTGGAACCCCCGTCGGAGCTCATCCAAAGGCTCCCAGCATAAACAGCCGCCACCATCTTGGCACCATCCGAGGACACAGCCACACGATTCCAATTGGGATTTGGAACACCCGGTATGACCTCCGTCCAATTCACACCGCTGTTCGAGGACATCCAAAGCTTCCCCATAGACATCCCAAAGGTTCCCACCGCAGCCAGGATCTTTGTGGCATCAGAAGACATACCCACAGACACCCAGTACTCTCCATTTTGAGAGCCTGCACTCAAGGCATCCCAACTCATGCCACGATCGGAGCTCATCCAAAGCTTTCCGTCAAAAACACCAACAACTTTCTTGGAACCATCTGGAGACACGGCCGCACAATTCGCTCCTTGAGTCAAACCGTCCTTTGACCACCTGCCAGCATCCCGGTCGTGCCAAAGGCTTTATGGACTCACAGCCACGGTGCCGACATTGGAATCAGGCATGGCGACATCATTCCATTCTTCGGGCTCATCAAAGGTCTTCTCGGTCCACACTTGCCGGTAGTAGGTCCATAAGTTCCCCTTCATCACAGTAGCCACCATAGTCCGACCATTTCCAGCTACACCCACTGCTGACCAGGATTTCTTTCCAAGACTTTGCACTGGAGACCAGCGTGGTTGTGCAAAAGCGCCCACGAGTACCATGGCACATAGGATCGGCGTCATTGTCCGAGATCTGCTGGCAGGTGAGGGCAAGGCAATTGAAAAGTTTGAAAAGCTACATGAGCTACACACCAGAAATGAGGTGATCAAGCATAAAATATGGAGGCTATGCTACGTTGAATCTATGCTTATTCTGACTACCCACTCCATGTTTGTAGGAAGCAACGTCTCGTGCTAAGAAGCTTCATGCTGCACATCTTTTTCGGCTCCGTTCTCGCGCAAATCTCAAAAGGATCCGGAGCGACGTCTTCGCTGTTTCTGGGCCACACACCATCTGCTGCTGTTGCCTCTCCAGGTCTTTGCCTCAGAACGCGTTCTTGCTGCCGTAAGTGCTGGCAGTTTCAGACATGTGTTATTTCATTGTTTCATAATTACGTGCTTTTCCTACAAAGACCACTACTGTTGGCAGGTTCTTATCTGGAATGAAGAGAAGAATGCTCCGACAAAAGACCTCACATCATCTCAGGCCGACAAGCTCGACGTCTCAGGCAGAAGCGTGATTTCTGCATGGCCTTAGACAAACGGAGCTCAGCGCAACGTCGTCAGTCTGGTCCATTCCCGAGGGCACCGACGTTTTGGGTCCAAACACAACTCCAAACGAAACAAAATCTAAAGCCAGACGCCCCGGCCTGCTCAAACGAACCACCCAAAAGGGCTTCGGCAATCTGTCGAAGCATCGCCTCCAAACGAAATCGACCTTTCACTGCGACCACTCAGCTACTAGTAGCTCCTGGCATTACTACTAGGAACAAGAAGCTACTAGTAACAAACGGCATCGCTACTAGTAGAAGGACGCTACTAGTAACAAGGTGCATTTCTACTAGGAACAAAAAGCTATGCCGCTATGGCTTTTCCTTTGGCGCACACACTCCAAAGCGAAGTGCTGGACCGCAGCATTTTTTCAGAACACAATCCGCTCGCGCGACGCCGCAGGGTCTGGATCTGGATTATGTACATTCGACCTTGGCGCGTGGCGTGGCAGGCGTGGCACTCAACAAATCCACCAGAGGGAAGAACGAGAGAGAGAGAGAGAGCCCACTAGCGATGGCCTCCACCCTAGTGGCGGCCTCCAACTTAATAGAGAGAGAGAGAGAGACAACTCGTACGGGATATCGATGACAAAACTGAGAAGGACATTCCAAAGCTTCTGCCGGCAAGTGTCGTCTCTGCTCGGCGGCTATCCTGAGCCAAAACCGCTTTCAATGTCGAAGCTTCCAAATCTATGGCGGAAGCTTAATGGAAAGGCCAAGAAGGCCACAAAGAACTCTAAATCTCCTTAAGCCTGTCTAGCTCTCCAAAGAATCCTCACCAATCTTCACCAATCTCTCACCGACACTATTAGTAATGCTACCAGGAACAAGTGCATCGCTACTAGGAACAAGTGCCTTACTAGTAGTAACAAGAAGCTATTAGAAACAAGTGCCTCGCTACTAGTAACATATTTATATATATTTATATATATATTTAATTATTTAATCCACATAAATCGTCAGTCCTCCGGTTGGTGGGCCGTCAACATGTCCCGCAGCGCTCGCACGGTGAGGGGCGTCAGCGCGGCCTGCTCAGCCTGATTCGTTTTTGGACAAACAAACCTGTGATTCGTTTGCTGTTTCGGGTCATAGTACGGCCAGGAGCCCCTAGTAGCGTCCGATCGCTCCTAGTAGTAAGGCCAGCCTAGTAGCGTCCGATCGCTCCTAGTAGTAAGGCCAGGAGCCCCTAGTAGCTTCTTGTTCCTAGTAGGAAGGCACTTGTTACTACTAGTAAGGCACTTGTTACTAGAAGCGATGCACTTGTTCTTACGTTAAGCTATGGAGTAGTGGAGTCTTTGGCCTTAGGCGTGCCCAGGTCCATGGAATTCAAATCTCGGCAAAGCTCCTAGCGGGCACAAGCCACATCAAGCAAGTCAGGCGAAAACTCCGCCCAAAACCAAGAATACCCAGACCAGTTCCGCATCTGCTTGAACATAAGACCGGTACTCATACCGCGGGAATGTCCTGAAGCTCCGCGCTGAGGTGTTCACAGGGCTCCGTGTAGCGTAAGACCATGGACTGCAGCTGCTGCCGCCGAGGATTCGTCAAAAACGCGGACCAGTTCACCACACAGGCGCCAAGTCCTGCGCAAACGCTTTTCGCGGAATGTTAAAAGAAAAAAGAAGACGTAGCGTCCGATTGCTCCGATTGCTCCTAGTAGTAAGGCCAGGAGCCCCTAGTAGTGTCCTTGCTCCTAGCGATGCCAGGAGCCCCTGTGTCTTTGTCGTCACGTCGTCGCAAAGTCTCCTGCCAACGATTGCGCCAGGGCCGCAATCTGCAAGCGCAACACCTCCAGCTCCTCTCGGTCCCCGCCTCGCACGTTGCTCGTTTGGGAGAATGAAGGCTCTGGTTTTTGAACGTGCACTTGTTACTAGAAGCGATGCACTTGTTCCTAGTAGCTTCTTGTTACTACTAGTAAGGCACTTGTTACTAATAGCTTCTTGCTCCTAGTAGCGTGGCACTTGTTACTACTAGGTTTGGGAGAATGAAGGCAACCAAATGTTTGCTCTCGATTTCCAAACAGCCATACAGACCACTGACTCCAGTGAGGAAGCCCTTCATTGGAGCCTCCAGATCCTGGGCTGTGATAGCTCGCAGGGCTCCCCTCCTAGCATTTGATCTCAGGCAATTATCGTCGGGCAGGCCAAGGCCATGGTGGGCCATGCCAAAAGAAAAATGAGACGTAGCGTCCGATCGCTCCTAGTAGTACGGCCAGGAGCCCCTAGTAGCGTTCTTGTTACAGTGTCATCCAAACTTGACCATTTCATCTCCAAAAAGGTGGTCAAACAGCTCCGCCACAGCTCCGCCTTGGCCTCGCATCGATCCGCGGGAGAGCTGCCGGCGGCGTGGTCATCACCATCTCCTGGTGGAGCAGAGACTGAACCAGACACAGTCAACCGGTTACCACAAACAAAGCCAACAAACGGTCGGTCTAAAGAAAAAGAATGAAATCTGTAATAGTGTAAAAAGAAAAAAGACATCTGTCATCGAAAGGTCGTATCTTTCGCAACGATGTTCCCCCGCGCCCGCGCCTGCCAAGCAGTCGAAGGGCGAGCGCTCTCCGTTCGAGCGCTTCTCTGCGCGGAGCTGCAAGGAGCCAACGAAGTTCCCCAGCTCCACCAGCTGCGACTTCAACTGATCGCCTAACAAGACGAGCTAAGACGCTCTCGCCGATTCTTTCTTTTTCCTTCTCTTTTTTATTTATGGGTGATGTCTTCTTGTAGTTCTTCCTTCTTCTTCCTCTTTCCTTCAGCTTTTACCCTCACACGTTGGTATGACGTCTGGCGCACCGAGATTTCCTTGAGGCGGGAGTCTGTGATCAGGTACCTCGGATGCATCCAAGGTTTTGCCATAAACCTGACCCAATGAAATTGCAAAAAAAAAAAAGCTACTAGAAACAAGTGCATCGCTACTAGTAACAAGTGCCTTACTAGTAGTAACAATGTTTGCTATTAGAAAGAAATTGCCAAGAAATAAACACTTCAGGACTCCGGACATTCGACCAATGTCCGGCGGGTTCTTTGTGGACCAAGTGACCAGAGTGTCTTGGAACTGCTCACGACGCTGAAAACCAGCTTCCGTTTGATGCTCCCGCAGCTGGATTCGCAACGGCGGCTCCTTCCGACTGTTCTGCGCTGTTCAACGAGTGGAAACCTGAAGTTCCGTTCAAGGTTCTGCGATGGCCTCCAACCTACTTGCGACGGTGAAAGAACTCTAGTAGTAAGGGGAGCCCCTAGTAGCGTCCTTGCTCCTAGTAGCGATGCCCTTTGCTCCTAGTAGCTTCTTGCTCCTATGCTTTAAGCGATTCTGCAAATGATTTGATGACTTTGCTGTCTTGATTCCGACTTCTCCCAAGCCCATTCAGATGGTGCTCTTTTTGTCTGTTCTTCCTTTCCTCAATGTCCTCTTTTCTTTGTCATATCGCTTCTCTGTGCAACGACTCGTGACGTTCTCCTCGAGCGAGAAAGACCTCTCGCCCTCTTCCATGACGTTGCTTGCCGCCGAAGTCTGAAAGGTATTTCTTCTGTTTGAAACACGTCCCTTTCGGGCACAACAGCACCAGCCGCACTGTTGGTTCACACTTTGTTGTTCTTATTTTTACGAGCAATATATATATATATGTGTGTGCTTTTAAAGTAAATGTTCAACAAGATGATCTCTCTTATTTGAAGTGATCCGTTTGATCCGTTCCTAGGTCAGAAATGTCAGAAATCCCAGGAATGAGCTGTGACTTGCGACCTGCAGTGACCACTGATGAGCCTGCAGGATTGAAGCTACAGAAGGACTGTGCTTTGAAATCTTCGCGTTCAGACCCCTTTCCAAAAATGAGATTCAACTGGGCTCCGACCCAAGTGTTTTTGTGGTGTTTTCTTGAAAGCTCGTCAAAGTCTTGAGAATTCGTCTGATTTGTTCGAAAAAAGAAGCTCCTCAAGCGTTCCTTTCTCTCTCTCTCTCTCTCTCGGAGCTGCTCTTGGAGCCTCGTTGGTGCGAATGTTGACTTTCATGTTCTCCATCTCCATCTAGCCATAGAAAGAGAGAGAGGAGGGGGAATGTATGTATACATATAACACATATACGGTATATACATATACATTACTTTTGTTATGTGATTAATGAAATGTTGGATATGTTTCATAATAAAGCATGACATGCTACTCCCAGAACACTCAGGCCAAAAGCCAGACCACAACCTTGGCTTCAAAAGGCTATTTATTGGCCCATTGCTACACCCTGCTTTCATTCCAGTTGGAAGCCGGAGCTCAGAAACCGTCCATGTTTTATCTCAGGAATTCGGAGATTTTGATTCCAACCTGGTAGCGGGACTTCTCCTCATTGAACTGGCGTAGCACCTGGGCAAATCAGGGTTCCAGGACCTGGAGTTTCCAACGGATCCCTTTTGTAACAACTCATTCTGTGGAGCGATCGGATGCTACGAACGGGGCTCCTGGTAGTAAGGTGCCTTGTTACTTGGAAAAGAATTGAAAGTGGCCCAACGTAGGAAGGCCAGCGAGCTGCCTGGTTCTCTCATTTGGGCTCTCACCCCATCACCCAACCCTCCTCATTCTCTGAGTGGGATACACGATGGAGCCTACCAAACAAAAACCAATACCCCCATGAAGGGTCTTGAAATTGGTCCAAACTTCTTGTCGTTCAGGATCAAAAATGTCTACTGCAATCGGGCATCTCGTGAACAATGATCCTCATCATCAAAGTGCTAAGGGAGTTGGTCTTGGCCATCACCGAACACGAACGCTACAACAACTTCGACTTACGACCACCTGAACCGCTTGCGAACACGGCGGCACCTCGTTGAGAGCTGCGGTGTTTCCTCCGGACAGCACCTGAAACGATCTCTCCGAGATGGCTCGATTCGCTCGATCTCAGGGCTTGAGATCGGGAGATTTGGGCCGCAGGTCTGCCTCTTTTCTCTATCAAGCTGAACGCTCAGCCACCAGCCTCTTGCCCGCTTTGAGTGAGCCTGTTGGTCTTCAGACTGATTTTCCATACAGCGTGAGTTCACAAAACAAATGAGTTCGGTTCGTTCCATTCTGATCCATTAGCAGCTTGTTAGCGGCTTGTTAGCAGTTCGTTCAGCTTGTAAAGATTTTAAAAACGGCCTTCGCCTCACTGCCATTCACACATCGTACAAATCCCCCCTGCCTGGCGAAGAAATCACCTGACCTGGCGCTGAAAGCCGCCAGCGCCAACGCGTCTGATACGAAATGCAATTAATTGCAACCTACTAGCCTTCTTGTTACTAACAGCGATGCCAGGAGCCCCTAGCAGCTTCTTGCTCCTAGTAGTAAGGCCAGGAGCCCCTAGTAGCGAACATTGTTCCTAGTAGATAACTGCAAACGCTTGTTTAACGCCATAAACGAGGATTCAAAAACAACCGCGCATTGACCATTTACCTTCAATTCATAGAAACTGTTGAGCCTTTGTCTGTGTATAGGGCGCCCCAGTGCTATCTTTAAGAACCCAACAAGGAGAGCAAAATAGCAATGGCCTCCAACCTGAATGCAATGGCCTCCAGCCTGGACTGGAGCCTCTTGCTCTTAGATCCGCTCCTTGCTACGAAGAAACCTTTTCTACACCGAATCCGGCGCCACGATGGCACGAGCCCAAAAAATGCCGCCACTTCGCCACGAAAGGAGCCTCCGGAGTCTTCTTCAAAGTCTCCGGAGTCTTCTCCCACGTCTGTGGGAGCAGAGAGCGAGCGGAGCCGACCGTTAAAACTCGGAAACCGCTCACAGGCGAGTTCAATCGGCCCTGTGGACGGCTGACTTTACGGATGTTGTTCCATGATTACTTGAGTAGAAGGCCTGGTTTTCAGGTGCTAGTAAGTCGATTAGGTTGGAGGCCATCTCTTGTAGGTTGGAGGCGATTATGTATGTTATTTAGACACGTCCGCAGCCGTGGGCACCCATCACACCCTTCCAAGAAGCAATGCAACGCAGCCCAACGTCAGTGAGCAAGCATGACTGGCCGCAGGGTTTGCTGATCCAACCTCTGCAAAGTCCTCAGCATCCAAGAATTAAAGAATTTATACTCTTGCAATCTAGCTCCAAAGTAATTGGAATAAGACAAACATGGACCGGATGAGAAAAGGCACGTTCAAGGTGCTTGTGTCATCATTGCATGAATGCGTATTGGATAAAGACAGCACAAGTCCTAAAAAGGGTAGTTTCAAAACAAAGAGATTTCAGTCAATTTCATCAGTCATGTCAGTCACCCATTGAATCATGTGATTTCTGGTCCCAAGTTTCACATGCCCCGAGTCTGAGGCTGAGACAGAGGTGGTCCTCGGCTGAAAGCCGACGCATTTTCTTGCTGAGATTCCGACAACACACATTTCTCCCAACGAAAATTGAAAGGCCCAAAAGAAACAAGAAGAGGAAGAAGAAAAGGTCTAAAGAGTCTTAAAGAAAAGAAAGGAACATAGAAAATGCCAAATGAAGCTACTAGTAACAAGTGCATCGCTTCTAGTAACAAGTGCCTTACTAGTAGTAACAAGGACGCTACTAGGAGCAAGAAGCTATTAGTAAATCCTCGCCTCTAGCTACCCGGCCAAAACGCCATTTGCGAGGTCTTGGGACTTGAGAGGGGGAAAGCAATGTGTCAAAGAGAACGCATGTGTTTTTCTTTACTTTTCTGGTCAAACAGAACCCAAAGCATCTTCATGTCTTCTTTCATCGCTTTAAAAGAAGCTTCCTTGGCAATCGTTTCGGGAATCGTTTCACTTGCAGTAACAAGGTTCGCTACTAGGAACAAGTGCATCGCTTCTAGTTGCAAGTGCCTTACTAGTAGTAACAAGAAGCTACTAGGAACGGTCTTTGAAGTATCTGTCTTTTTCGTAGTAGCGAACCTTGTTACTACTAGTAAGGCCAGGAGCCCCTAGTAGCGTCCTTGCTCCTAGTAGCGTGGCACTTGTTACTACTAGCGTCCTTGTTACTACTAGTAAGGCACTTGTTCCTAGAAGCGATGAACTTGTTCCTAGTAGTCTTCTTGTTTGGCACTGGCCCTACAACTCACTCCCACTCTGCCGAGCAGCACCGGTCCGCTCGTGGTGCTGCCGGCACCACTGGCGCCACCCGTCGCAGTGGAAGTGGTGGTGCCACCTTCCAAGAAAACGTTGGCCAAATTGGCGAGCCAAATATGTTCAGTCTTTTCCGAAAAATAACAGTGAAAAATGTTTTCTTGTATCACAACTACTCTGTTGTCAATGCTTCGACAAAGCTGTCCCCTGTGTCCTATTGAACTTTGTTACATCGTCCTGTCCTTTTTCTGACCAGTGGTCAGATCTTCAGTATTTGCCCGGAATCGGAATCAAAGTATCAGTATCACTCACTGACTTCACCAAACCTCATTCTTAAGCAAACCTCTCTCCTTCCAATCGTCCGTGGCAAAGGGAACTACTAGGAGCAAAGGACGCTACTTGTGGCTCCTGGCATCGCTACTAGTAGCATTCTAGCTACTAGGAGCAACTGTACTGCAACTGAGAAACCGGAGGAAGCAGGACTGCCGCTGGTCGACGAAGCCGATGTACCCGAGACACCATTCCCAGTTGTCGTGCTTGCACCTGTCACCAGGTTATATCAGACCATTCAAAAGTAGCACGCTATTCCTGATCTGCACTCGTTTCCACGCTCTGCCGCATTCTGTATTCCTTGTTCTCGATTGTCCAAAGTAGGTTGGAGGCCATCGCAGATAGGGTGGAAGCCATTGTTTGGGAGGCCGCTAGTAGGAGGGAAAAAAGGTTAGGGAACGGCTGCAAGCCTCCAGGTGCTGAGGAGGTGGACCCACTCACGCTGCTAGTGCTGGTAGTGCTGGCACCTCAAAGCAAAACATGTATCAACTCGACGTACACACGATCCATAGTCCCTTGCAATGTGTAACTAGAAGCTTTTATTCCTAGTAGCTTCTTGCTCCTAGTAGCGATGCCAGGAGCCCCTAGTAGCGTCCTTGCTCCTAGTAGGAAAACCGATTCTCGGAACTCTTTTGGCTTCATTTTACCGAAGCCAGACCTATTGTAGGCCAGACACCATTCACGCTGGTGGTCACGGTCGTGGAGGCGGCTGAAGTGCTGACACCTCCTTTCATGAGAGGTAGCTAGTAGTTTAACTAGCTACTAACTACTCCACGCAGGATAGCTCGCACTATATAATGATTTGCTTCCTAGATTTTTAGGGAAACTTAACTAGCGGCACAGATGAATCTCTTCTGTTCTTTCCTCTTTCTTGTCCCTTTTCGGCAGACCTTTAGATTCAGCACGCTTTGGTAACTAATCTTTATATGCCATGCTGCTGACCAGCAGCGGAGTCCTCCTGATGTGCCTCGGGGATCTCCGCGGACATGTCGTGGGCTGAGATCTGAGCACACCTGCTAACCAGCTTTCTAGGTGTGATTAGGCAGTGCAAAACAATCTTCTTCCTTGTATGTTAAGAATGGATTTGATTTAAGCGAAGGAAGAAAACAAAAACACAAAGTGGTGCTTGTTAAGGTCAATGCCCTTATGGCCTGAATAGCAACGTTGTTGCTTTCCAGTTCCATGCACCAAGCATGCTTTCTAGGGAGAACTTTCTTTTGCCGCATTGGAGTTCTTTCGCTGTCAGTGTCCCAACCCGAAGTTCGCTTGAGAACACTTGGCCTCCAACCTAAGAGCGATGGCCTCGACCTACTAGACTCAATATCTGGCTCATTTGGCATCTTTAGCCCGGAACATTCGTTGGTTTTGCTCGCCGCACAAAGACTGTTGAATGTGTGCAAGCAATCTTCTTGCAGCATTCGTACCTTTTAGTGGTCAAAAATATCTGCGGTGACAAAAGACCAGAATTAAAGAAAGCAAATAAAAACGGAAAAGATGTTGGTGTCCCTTCAATATGGCCCTTTTCTCTCTCATGTTCCTTCATTCTGGAAAGCTTGCGCAGCCCGGCACACACCTCCGCAGGCTCCACGCAGCTCACAGAGCCCCCTCAAGGATTGACCAAGCAACTCTTCAAACAACTCTTAGGCTCTTACATGTGATCCATTCAAGCGATAGCCTCCGACCTGAAAGTGATGGCCTCCAACCTAAGAGCGATGGACTCCAACTTAAGAGCGATGGACTCCAACCTAAGAGCGATGGCCTCCAACCTAAGAGCGATGGCATCCGACCTCCAACCTAAGAGCGATGGACTCCAACCTAAGAGCGATGGCCTCCA